TAGGCATTCTGATGTGAAATTACAGCTTCTCAATTTATAAGTGCTGTGGGAGGACTGACAATTAGCCAATCAGCGCCATGGACAGTATCAATGTTGTTGTCAAGCTGAGTGCCAGACTGAGTGGACAATTCTGTGTGATATCAAACAAAGTCAGCCTGAATTCAAAATCAAAAACTGCATTTTTTACTTCAGTATGTCCGGGGAAGGTCTTTGTGCTTAGGAAGCACTGCAGACTGGGAGCGCTATGATCTCATTCTGAACACTGGGCTTGGATTCCCTTTGGCTGCTAGTCAAGGTCAAGACACCAGTTATCCTCTTTTTCATAACAGTCAGCACAACTTTGTATATATTTCACTTGGACGCATGATTTCTGCCTGCATCACATAAGGTTTTGAGAGGAAAAGTCTGAGGGGAAAAAAGTGTCTCTGTGGGATTTGAATCATAGTCTCTTGCGTAAATGACACAGATCACAGATCAAAGATGAACTTTGACCACCGTTTCAAGAAATGAGAGCAACAGGAGCTGTCATACATTTTCTTGACTGACACAGCTTGGTGTGAACAGGGCTGCTCAGGTGCTATATCCTGTCATCGCATAGCAACAGTCAACTCTAAATCTATGCTAAAGCCTTATCGGGGATTCACTACACTAAAAGCCTGTTTGGACTAAAAAGACTTGATTAGATTTAAAAATTGCAGAAGTGACATATTAGCCTTGTAGTTAGCCTTGTAGTTAAGTCGCACTCACAGCACCTTGAATATATTACTTGTTTTCTGAAGAGAACTGAAGCTGAGGTCTGGTATAAGGCTTGGGTTTAAGTCTCAGTTTTTGGGCTAGGTTTTTAGAGTAATGAAACATTTCCACTACAGTATCTGGGCATATTTTTTCCTAACTTCACATTGTGGCTGCTCGTTATATCGGATATAGCAACAGGAAATGTGAACCTGAGCAAGAGAAGCCGCCACACTGCAGGGTAGAGACAGCTCAAAACTGGAGCTGAAGCTATGGGAATTCCCAACCTTTTAACCAGTGCTTTTTATAGCATCTGGTCTATTGTGAACAGGAGACACTTCATCTAACAGTGGCATCTCTAAAGACAAAAATAGCCACCTTATTTGTCACCTACAGAGGCAATGCGTAAGTGTTAAATCAAATATGGACTTTTTTTTGAAGGTCCATATTTATCTTCATTAAAGGGGACCAGTTGGGCTTTTTGTTTCCTGTCATGTGACAGAGTGCTCATATGGTGATTCGAATGATCAGTTTCAGGCAATTCATTTCCACTCTTGCCTCTATATGATGTCAATGAGGGCAGATATGCACACAGCCCATCTCCACAGTTCAAGCCAGAGGCAGCCAATCACAAGACAGCTGGCTTAAAAAAAAAGGCGGTAGCAGGGGGCGGGGGGTTGTGGCACACTGTAGTGAGATAATGCTTTGAGGTCAGAGATTCATGACTGTGGTTACTATAGCATTTTGTATATGTGCGCATGTATGTATGGATTGGACTGCTTGGGAAAACACAGTTAATAAATATTTTAACTCACACTTGGTGAGCAAAGAGTGATGAACCAGCAGTGTGATTGTTTTAGTCAGTACATATGTATGTGTCTGAGCATGTTTGACTGCTGGGCATCCCTGGAAAGGCTGAGTCAGTCGAGAACCACAGGGTGAGTGAAAACAGGGTTGGGAGGGAGAACAGGTACTGAGCGTTATGAAAGCAGAGTACGTGGGAAAGGGAAAAGAAACTCGAGGACACTGTGTGAAGGGTATGCTGCAACCTAAAAAAAGCCCTTCTCTTTTCTATCACGCAAATGAGAAGGACAAAAGCCATCAGTACATATCCCAAACTCCTCTTTAGCTCTTAATACAACACAAAGATGTGTTTTACATTTTTTTATCCACATGGCATGCTTATCTTGAAAGACATTTCCTCTTCTTTTTCTTTCCCATCTGCTGCTGGTTCTAAGAACAGAGGACCTGTATAGTAAAACAGATTAGCTGACTTTAATGGGGTACATTTTCTACCAATAGCCTATCTTAGCACACATGTTGTGTTAAAAGAGAGCAGATGAAGGGCGAAGGAAGCTCTGATTGTCCAAAATCTGTAATTTTGGAGAACTAGAATTACTGTCATGTCCATCGTAAAGCACTAGCTAAAGAGCGTGAGTGACTAAATTTAACTGAAATCCTAGGGCCATCTGTTTGCTTAGCCCATGTTCACACCCAGCAGGCATGTTTGTGCAAATTATTTTGTTTTTAAGCTTGTGATTTTAATAGGAACCAGAAACTTTAAAAAGTACTCCATGAGGCATGCTGAAAGTGCAAAACAAAAACTATGAACAGTCATTACAGTTCTAATATAATAAGAACATATGGATAAATTTGAGTTGAAATCTCATATTCACTATGTTTGCATATATGTCGATATTTTACATTAGCTGTAATAACATCTAGCACTGAAATACTCAGAGATTCAGCTATTTGTGACACATTCCAGATAGTGCATTATGTTTTTATAAATGATAAATCGTGATCTTAAATCTTCCTTTAATCGCCTGTGACTCTATAAACAAGACCTCTAAAAGCTAAGATTCTGAAAGAAAGTGTCTATTGCTCAATTGTTGTTCTGACCTTTTCCATTTATGTCTTGGATTAAAAGGCCCCGTTAGCTTGCTTTAGGTCTGTTAGGAGTGGTAACTAATGCATCTACACTAACCCACTCATATATATGACTAAGGTACACAGACTATATGTAAAAGATTTTAAAATCAGGATGTGACCATATTTGGATGAAAGGGTAGACCTGTGCAGGGTTACATAACTATCTTGATGATTAAGGTGCATCAGTGCAGTAGGTGTGGCGAGGAAAATCCCAAATATTTGGCCAATAGAGGGGATTTAATTAGTGTCTTTTATCAGAACAAAAAAAACAATGTTACCAGACTTTCATTCAAAACACACAATTGCTTAACAATGGGGAAAAAATGCACACATAAGTGTTTGTAATGTGTCACTCGGACACATTAAACTAAGCTGTCATGTAGTTTTGTAGTAGTCTGTAGTTAAAGTGAGGTAGCATTTCTTGACACCAGCACTTGCCAGAATTGGGTTTGGTCTGAAATTTACCCCTTAAAACCTGAAATATGAAATAATTGCTAGAAATATTTGAAAATGGGGAGTTTATTGAACCATCTGACAAATTTGTTTAAAAAAATGAATTTAATTTTATTATACATATATGACTTAATTATATCATGTTTGTTATATCTGGCATTTAAAAAAAAAAAGATCACACTGATGATGTAGAAGTCTAAAAAACTGTATGTATCAAATATGATAAGCTTCTATGTTATAGTTTGACATGAAAGTGATGAAGGAAATGCAAAGCAGTACACTGTTTCTTGAAGCCCCTGTGGGCAATGCAACAGGTTACCAATTTTTTTTTTTCCTATAGTGCCAAATCACAACAGGAGGCACTGCAAGGCACATTATATTAAAAGGTAAAGGCCCTTCAATAATACAGATAAAACCTCAACAACCAGACCCCCACTTGGTTACAGTGAGTAGGAAAAACTCCCATTTTACAGAAAGAAACCTCTGGCAGAACCAGGATCAGGGAGGGGCAGTCATCTGCCTCAGCCAGTTGGGGGTGGGGGGAGGGAGACGGGACAAGGGTTACTGCTGACATACAGTTCACCCTGGCTTAAAAGCTCAGTTATCTAGAAGCTGGAAATTAGTTTAAAAAAAGAACAAAAAAAAAAAAAAGAAACGTCTTTTGTTGAAGGCTTTAAACACCTTTAATTTTGCTGTTTAGTTCGGCATTGTAAAATGGAGGTTCATGAGATTTTCACTATAATTTGGAGCTGGTCTTAAGTGGTCAATTGGGAAACTGAAGTTTTGACATGTTACTGCTTGTCAAACATACAAGAAATCAAATCAACTAATACAAGGTAAGTAAGGAAAGTCATTTTTGACAGACAATTTGCACTGCAAGCCCAGCCCAGATACAAAATTAGAAGTATCAGGTAAACTACAGATCATAGTCATTTTTTAAGTGTCAGGGAAACTGAGAGAGAGCGAGAGCGAGCTGTTATCTGTTGTTATCAGCTGTCATACAGGTTTTAGATGAGAGCAGCCTCACAAGGTTTTCAACACATTACGTAAGCCCACTCAGCCTATTCTGTATTGTCCTCGACATCAAAAGCAAAGACACCTTTGCACTGTATCTTTGTATTATTGTATAATAATTAATGCGGTCATAAAAGTGTAATCCCATTTACTTCAGTCAAAAGCTGATCACTTTCTTTTACCATGTGAAAGTAACAACTTTATTTAGTTGCTGCAGAATAATCTCTTCCATTGTTAGAGGGCATTACTGGGAGTTTTAAAGATGATATTTAAATCATTTAAATCAATCCTGGTGACAGTTGAAGTAGCTTAAATCCAGGCAAAAAAGCAGAATGAAAATCAAAATAAACAAGGCTGCTGACTTGTCTTCATATGTGAAAGTGGATTCAGCATTGCTATTTGATTAACTGACATACTTATGCCTGGATTTAAAGCCTACTGGATTTAAAGCTGGATAGATTTCAACACAGAAATTAGCCACAGTAATTAAAATGTGCAGATATCGACTCAAGTTCTCAAGTGATTTCTTTAAAATAAGAACGAACCAATGAAATATTATCCAAAATACTTAAAAAGGCAAATTTCTAGTCATGAAAAAAAGCCAGAACCACACCCGCCTACAGTGCCCACAGCTTGTGGAAGGCAAGGGCGTGATTGGATAAGCATCACCATGGCAATGCGATGACGTCTTCATCCCTTGGTCTCATTGGAGGAAACCCCGTGGGCCTCAGTCTCTGCAGCGTTCCGCTCAACCAAACTACCACCATAAGCCCGCCTTTTTCCCCCGCGCTAAACAGCTACAGGTTTACAGAGCTTACTATTCCTGTCAATCAAATGCGAGACGGACTTATGATTGGAGAGTCAACACTCAGATGACTCTCCCCCCCACACCCCCCTTTATTTTAGCAGTTCAGTTGGGGTTTTTTTTCTGCTGCTGCCGCCGTTCTTCTCCTTTCTAGTCACTATCTCATAACGGAGCATTTTGGGGAGAAAATTTAGACTTCATTAGGTCAGCAACAGTGAGTATTTATTTTTTTCCTGGCAAATATACGGTTAGTGGTGGATTGCTTTAGTGACACGTTGTGGGTACGTTTAGGCTTTTCTGGAACTAGTGACTTTTTTTTTCCTAATGAAAGGAGTGGCCGTTGTAGCCAGCTAGTTCTTTTGCTAACTCGCTAGCTAGGTGCAGCAGACCGCTTTGTGGCGGGTTCAATTGTGAGACGGGCTTGCCAGTAGATCTCCTACTTCCGATGCTCGCAGCAAACCGCAGCTTTAAAAGAACCGTATAGCGAGATCAAGTGTCTTTACTGTTAACACTACAGGTTACTTATGGTTTGGGATCGGAAATTTCTGTACGCTAAAGCGATTTAACGCGTTCAGTTTGGAAAAATTGTGCTATTTTAAACCCGTTTTTACGCCCCGTTACGATTATCGTTGGGATATCTTGTCCTCCAGTTGTATATTGATATGTCCCATCGTACTAATTGTTAACGTCTTTCCGCAGCTTGTGGGGATTGCCACAGTCCATCCCATCCTACGGCCATTCTAAAGCGTAACAGTCCTCGACTGTCACTCACCTTCCCGGGATTTCTCATTTCTCGCTTCAATAAATATATAAACTATGGCTAAAACGGATCTTATCCAGAAAGCCAAGCTGGCAGAGCAGGCTGAGCGCTACGACGACATGGCAGAATGTATGAAGGCTGTTACAGAGATGGGAGAGGAGCTGTCAAACGAGGAGAGGAACCTGCTGTCCGTCGCCTACAAAAACGTGGTTGGGGCGAGGCGGTCCTCATGGAGGGTGATATCCAGCATCGGACTGAAGACCGAGGGTTGCGAAAAGAAGCAGCAGATGGTCAAAGAATATCGCGAGAAAGTGGAATCAGAACTGGATGAAATCTGCAGATGTGTTTTGGTAAAGTGTATATATATTTTTAATTGTACTTATTTTTTTTCTCTTTATATCGCGCAGCATGGCGCATGTTGCTTATATGTGAGATGGAGACCACAGTCTTGGAATATGTACTCTGGAAGCTAAGCTGTAATGTCTTATTGCTGACTAAATTATAATTATTGTAACCAACTTTAGTTAGTGGTGACTAAAACTGCAGCGTTTCCTTTTTTAGAATCTACGTTTGCTCTTGAGGGGAGTGGCAAATGCTTGATATGTTTTGTTGTAAGGAGAGATTTCTACAAGATTTTTTTTTTTTTTTAAGAATGCACTTAAGCAAATAGACTTTTTACCTGAGATCTAAATATGACACACGCACACACATTTTAATTTTGCATTTTTAAAAAAAATAATTTTTTTAAAATTGAATTCAATGCTCTTTCCTGTAAGTTGTCCTGTAAATATGGACTCTAAAACCAGTGGGGACAAGGAAGTATTATGTTGTCCTCCCACTGTTCCTGTCTTTTGGGAATCTGGATTTCAAACAATGGGTTTAAACTTGTGAGGGTGTGCTGTAACTGAGGAAAGGTCAGATTAGCTGCACCAAAAAGGTGTGTCTAAATGGGTAAAGGCTTAACCTAGGAAATGCACTGCATGTATGCTGTAGATGATAGTCAGTGTAGTCTATAATATTATTGGTGCCATTTATACATGCAGAAATGCCTCACTCTTCCTCAAGTTCAGCTTGATTGGTTTAAAAAAAAAAAAAAAGAAGGGAAAAAGTCATCCTTTGTTGTGCAGATCCACCTATTAAAACCAGTCCAATTAAATACCTTCTCAGACTTTGCTTGCTGCATTTCAAGGCTTATCATTGCAAAGTTGCTGGAGTATGCTTTACTACTTAACCCAATGCTACATCACAGATTGGTTCTTTACATTGTTTCTAGCTGGCCTTGATAATGGATTAGAGGGGATCAAAGTGAAACCTTAGTTATAAGATTGAAATAATTTTTCTGAGCTGATGCCTTTTTCAAATGTGTTGCAAAGACGTAGAAAGCATTCATTTTCCACCATCTTCCATGCGTGTTCATGAGGATGTGCGCTTGCATGGCAGTGACTCAGCTTTCAGCTTTCTCCCTACTGAGTCTTGACTGAGGGTCTGTCAGCAGAGAAGGGCGTGTCAGTGCTCATGCCTTAACTTGTCTGCTGAAGCCTTACAAGTTGGTAATGCACCCATAAAGAAGAGCAAAGACGGCAATAGACGAGTAAGCTGCTTATGTGCCGCCTTATTTGATTTCCTGCACAGTGACAAGTGCTAGACTTTTCACTGTGCAGACAGCAGAGGTGTGGAGATGCTTTGCTCTGGTTTTCACGCATGTGCATTTAGAGCTTTAAAACACAACTATAGGCTTGTCAGCTGAGCAGATGCAGGCTATTGAAAAGTTTTAAACCCTAAATTGTACACAGTCTAAAAAAATTAAAGCCTTCAGCAGAACTCTTAATTTCCAGCGTAGGCATCTTTGATATTCTAAAGGGAGGACACAGACACATTGCGTTATTCTGCCTGATTAACCATTGCTATGTAAAAAGTAAAGGAAACACCCTGCAGCTAATAGTGAAATGATAAGGGATCCGCCCATACTCTGAAAGCACATCAATTCACATTAAAAATGTGAAGGCACTTGCACAGTTGGGATTAAATGTAACAACACCATGCTGTGTGTGTGTGTGAGCACTGGTGACTGAAATCAGAGATTTGTGTGAAAGCTCTGAAGGGAAATGCACTCCTCTTCTTGTCTATTGTGTAGAATATGCAATGAAAGAGGAACGCTTAGCACTTGTGTGTTTCAGCTGAGCGTGTTTGGAAATGGCGTGTATGGACCTTTTTGTTTGAAAACGGTTTAAATTTGTAAAATGGAAGTTGTAGGTAAAATTGATGTTTGTCTGCAGAGTATCAAGCTTTTCATTTAGTCAAACAGTTAATCGGCACTTTCAATCGGTTAAGCCATGTGAGTTTCACCGACAGATTAGCCAAAGTAATCCTCTATACATATCCACTCAAAGATGAATGACTTGGCCTAGCTTAATCATCACGAAGTTGGGGAAAATACTGTTAGGTGACCGAAACGTAACGGTTGATAGTAATTTAACTTGGAAATAGAATCTAGTAACTAAATGCAATATTTGCACAAAGCAAGGCAATTGGTAAATGGAAAAATACGCAAATACAAATTTAAAACTTAACAGTTTAAAAAGCTAAAAATAAAGTTTTAAGTAAAATGTAAGCAAAGTGGCTAGATGTGGTTGGTAAGACTTTCTACATTGGTCTTTGTTGCAGATGGATGGTAAAAAGGAGTCATTTATGTCTTAAGTAACTAGTTATTTACTCAAAACTGCAAAAAGTAGTTTGCAAGTACAGTTTTTAAAGCTTAAGATGGTTTTACAACCAAAGCTTATTGCTCTAGGCAAATCGTAAGTTAAAGAACTTTGGCTTTATTTATAAAAAAAAAAAAACCCATACGAAGTTAGAAAGGAGAAGGTAGCTGTAAACTAGCCACTGAGCATCAGGGCTCGCGTTTCCTTCTCTTGCAAACTTTATTCAATTTCAGGCAGATTCTGAATTTGCCAGCTAGAGATGGACAGCAATTTCTTTCTTTCTCTTTTTTTTTTTTTTTTTTTGTAAATTTAAATGAGTATGCACATGGAGCAAGTATGGGTCTTTTCTGAACTTTGTGGTTTCAAGTAGTAATTATGGGAATGATCCATTGCAGCCAGAGCTTCTGTTTCCCTAGACTTTGCTCATGGAATTTCTGTGGGGATTGTGGTATATGGGGGGGAAAAAATCAAAAATTTTATACCGTTAAACCATTATACCTCTCAGCACTAGTCGGGATGGAGTTTGTTTAGGCATAACATGCAGGTGGAGAAATGATCAGCTTGTAGTTTCTGCTGTTACCCCAGTATGTTATGTATAGCCCACACAAATGGTTAACTTATGTTAATGTGGGTTGTATGTAGCTTTTTATTTATTTTTATTGAAAGAAATAAACTTTGGGCACCTGATTGTATATCTTACCATAACTATATCAGATGTAGTTATCATCTAAACTGTTCAAATTCAGATGAGGTGGATTTAATTAGTTTTCTTAGTTTTCTTTGTTATCTGTGCAAAGATGCTCATTGTTAGTCTTTACTGCATGTGCTAAAATTGGGGGGGGGCAAATGGACCATTGTAATGGGAGTATTGTAAAAACATAGTACCTTATAAAATATCTGAGAAAATCTCTAGCCTATAAGCAATGCCATGGCTGTTTCAAAATGGCAATAACGGCAGTGTCAGCAATAAGATGTGAAACCATGCTGCACAGTCCTTGCACAAAATGCAAGTATCTGGGGCAGAAGACAGCTGGGGACACACCAGAGGCCTGGCCTGGTTCTGTGCAATTTGGAGCAACTTCAGCTGAAATTACCACAAAGTAAAATGATCCTTCAAAATGACAGTGTGAGCATATGCACTTGACTCCTGATGGATACAGAATGTACTCGTAAAGAGCAAGGGCAGGAGAGCTTTCTAATGGATGTAGGCCAGCATGACACTTGGATGAACCATCGCTCATCCAGTGGTGTTGAATGTTGTAGTCCTCATATCTTTTAACTTGGGGCTCAATAAATAATATTCATACTGAAGTTTTGCTGTTCAGTATTTGGTCTGTAAACTTGAAATTAATCTCACATTTATTTTCACAGAAACTGCTGGAGGACCATCTAATTAAAAATGCTTCAAATTCAGAGAGCAAAGTCTTCTATCTAAAGATGAAGGGTGACTACTATAGATACCTTGCTGAAGTTGCCAGTGGAGAAAACAAAACAAGTGAGTTAACATCAGTACTACGGTTATTTTATTCTCACACTAGCATTTGTAAGTTTTCATTTATTTAAGTTTACAGTTTTGCCTCCTGCTGAAAGTGGAGTGTAGTCTTTAAGTTGAACAATTTCTGTTCAATGGATTTGTTTGGGAACTTTGATAATTACACAAATGATTTATTTTTTCCTTTAGATACCATTGAAAGCTCACAGCAAGCATACCAGGAAGCATTTAACATCAGCAAGGCTGAAATGGAACCCACACATCCCATTCGTTTGGGCTTGGCACTTAACTTCTCGGTCTTCTTCTATGAGATCCTGAACTCCCCAGAAAAAGCCTGTGAATTGGCCAAACAGGTACAGACTTTAATAGTAATCTGACAACTAATTGAGGTCTTAAGTTGTAAACAGCTGGAAATGGATCAGTTCTAAGTGTTGCTGTTTATCTTTGCACTTGCAGGCATTTGATGATGCTATTGCAGAGCTCGACAATCTACAAGAGGAGTCCTACAAAGACAGCACTCTTATCATGCAGCTCCTCAGAGATAACCTGACAGTGAGTGTATTACTCTTTTGACATAAAACAGTTTTCACTGAACTGAATGTATCATAGTTGTTTCAGTGTCATGAACCTGATGTTCAGCCACACCTAAAATATCGCTGGGCAGTATTTTTAATTTCTAATTCAAGTTTCAAGCAAGAAGAAGGGAATTTTTATTTTTTTATTTTTTTTGTGTATCACTGTGGTTGTTGGTCTTGTGACTTTGGTGCTTTTTAAACCACAAAACTGATGTGTTAAACACCAAGTCACACTAAGGCAAGATAATATGTTAGCGCTGGTTAAGCTCCTACTACTCCTACAGCAGTAAGAGTTTTTTTCTTTTCTTTTTTCTTCCTCCTTCCCTGTACAGGAGACATCTCATATGTTGCTTAAAGATATATATCATATATTGCCATTGAATGGTGTGCACAGACTCTTACAAAGAGTTACAAACATCTGGGGAAAAGACACACAACCTGCAAAAATTAGAAATGTAAACTTTTCCTTTAAAGAAAATTGACAAAGTATGATCACAACTAGTAAGGATGTCTTAAAGCAGTGCTGTCACTCAGTTTGCAGTTTCAGTGATAACCCAGACTGTTAATTTGCATCGAGATACCCATACAACAACTTTGCTTGGGCAGCTGCCTTATTTTTTTTCCAGTGTCCCACCCCAATGTATGACAAGGAGTGTTGTAATTTAATTTTTTTTTTTAAGGTTTGTTTGGAAAAAACAATCAATACTTAGCCACAAACATTTAAATACCATTACTCTTTATCCCAAGTGACAAATCTGCAGTGTACAGATCTTTTTTGATGAAAGATGCAAGCATAAGCATGAATCGGCTATTTCTGCACATGCACAGACTTCCTGTGGTTATCCAGCCAGTCTGTGTGCTGAGGGGAAGAAGGCTTTCTGTCACTTGACCAGTCAGTGTAGCAAAGGCCAGAGCATGACTTGTCTTTGGCTTATGCATGTTGTGTGACATTGAGGTTATAAAGTCACGATTACTTTTAATTGGCTTAAAAGAAACATGTCATTCTTCAAAACCGTATCCCTTCATGATAAAATGGCTGAGACTGTCAGGTTGCGTGTTCGGATAAGTGTTGGACCCCACCCAATCAATTAAAAATGCATTTTAACAGTGTCCCTGTTTTTTTTTTGTTTTGTTTTGTTTTTGTTTTTTAGTGTGTACAATACAGTAAATTTTCATTAAATTGATCATAATCTGTGAATGAATCTGGATATTTGCCTGTCTTAAATCTCTCTGTCTCTCTCTCTCCCCCCCTCCCATAGTTATGGACATCAGACAGCGCCACTGAGGAGGGAGAGGGAGAAGAGGGCTCCAAGCCATCGAACTAAGAAGCCCAAGCCCATGCTGCTGGGGTTGACTCCAAAAAATAAAAGGAAAAAAAACAACAACTTTTTATACATCCTTCATTCCTTAAAATGCTCCACTTAAACATTCTACCATGAAAACATTGCTGAAAACGGTTGTGTATTAATATGGGGGGGAGAAACGACAAAAACACACACTTGATTTGGACACAAGAGAGAACCCTCCATTCCTTTACTTTGTGGTCTCAGCCATCCCCTTTGTGTGCAGTTTACCGTGAATGCTAGCTCAACATGATATCAGATTCCCTACCTCAATTAGAGGCAAAACAACTGGAAAGCTAAACTTCATAAAATGATTGTATTTTGTTCCAATAACAAATATTACACACATACTAATTTCCTTGTATATCTTACTGTAGTACACCTGTCGCTACATAGCAGTTTTAATTTTTTTGGCCTTTTTATTTTGATAGACACAGTGAAGAAAAGACAGGAAAGCGGGGGCAGAGAGAGGGGAAGACATGCGTCAAAGGGTTGTGGGTCAGATTCGAACCCGGGCCGGCCGCTCTCAGACTTATGGCATGTGGTCGCCTGCTCGACACACTGAGCTAAACCGGCGCCCAGCAACAGGTTTAACTTCCCTCACTTTGTCCTGGATCTGATGAAGCATTTATACTTGGTGGGTAATAGTGGGCCTCGTGTGATCAAATTCAGGGACATGCTTGTCTCTTAAACCTTGTGGTGTTGATACACTTCCTAAATATAATAAGTTGTTAATGCACATCACTTCCTTTAAACCTCTCTGGTGTGGCGAGTTCGAGAACAGCGCTCAGAGGCAGCCAGCTTGTGGATGTCGAGGACTCTGATGTCCATGCACTAGACCCCGATGGACAGCTGGTTGAATTTCAGTGAACTTGTCTTTTCATCACTCATACACCGTGATGAGACTTGAAGTTTCCTGTAATGTCCTTAATGCATCACTGTCTTGATACTTGATGTCCACTGGGAACTAGTTGGACTTTGTTTATTTTCTCTCGTTGTAAATTTCACGTCACAGAAGGAAAACCAGACTGAGATGTGGATGTTGAAGTAGATGTTCACACTCCAGTCTGTTACATTCTGATTTATTTATAATGTCAGTCCTCCTCATCCTCCAGCAGAGAGGCCACCTTGATCTTCTGGGTCTTGTGCATCTTCAGACTGACACGGGAAAGACTGCTGTAACACAAACCTGTCCAAATGTCAAGTTTATCCATTTCCAATGCAAGTTTGTACACATCCTAGAAAGGGTGAAATGTTAGTCTGTCCAGTGATTGTCACTAGTGTAGCCCCCAGAAGCCTTGTTGAACAGTCTGTTGAATCTGTATGTATCGTCTATGTTAACATTTGAAAACAGCATATACACGTGTTTGGGTTTGTTTTTTTTTCCTTTTTTTTTTTTTTTCAATATTATAGGGCTTTGCAGTTTCTTTTTCTTTTTTTTTTTTTTTTTTTAAATTTTTATTTTTTAACTTGGTGCTTATAAACAAAAGGAAAAATGAGGAATTTTTAACTGTACTTAAAACTCCCTGTAGGATTAAATCAATAAAAAGCAAACTTGAGATGACTCAAATAGTGAATTATGACATTAAATTTGCATTTACAATTGACATTTTCCACATTTGATATGGGTTAAATGTTTACCTTTACTGCAATAAAACCTAAGCTAGCAATATTGATCTCCGCATTAGCACAGCTTGAGGTAAAATGCTTTAACAAACACTGGTGGAAAATACAGATGAAACATGAATATATTTGAAATGAAAATGTTTTGTCCCAGTGAGTTAAGTGCAATACATGACAACATATTGGCATAGAGGAAAACCTGAGATGTTTTCGATGTGTGAGAAACTTAGAATAGTGGATGTAATGGAGGACAGGCAGAGAGGGTTGGCATGTCAGAAGAGGATGCTAGGGAGTGAGGTGGAGGCAGATAATTTTCTGTGGCGACCCCTAAAGGGAGCAGCAGTATGTACATTTGTTCATACTCCGATTTGAAGGTAAACTCGGGATGACCTGGGCTTGTAATTTGGTGTGTTCAGTTTTATTTTGGTTATAGTTTCACTATTGGTTTTAGTTTTCAGTCACGGAGAGGATTTCTTTTTCTCGGATGCAAGATGTACTTTACTCAAGTGGTATAAATACACACTGAGGAGTATGATAAGACGATCTCAGTCATATATCAACAACTCCTCATGCTTATGTTTACGGAATTGAGATTTTCTGTGTATTTAAAATTTTAAATGCAAAATGGCATTTACATTATTACTATAGGTTTATTTATAAACTACAGATTATCTATCTATCTATATATATATCTATATATATAGATATATATATATCAAAATCAAGCGTTTTATCTAATGTCGTACATCAGTTTTGCTCTTCATGTGTCTGACGTCATTCGTCACTCCTTTCCAACGGCACATTAGCTTTTAGCGGATGTTTTCCATTCGGTGGACTTCCGGGTAGCTTAGCTAGCTGTCGAAACAAACGGATTATTTACCCCCGACAATGACAGCACATGTATAGAGAGCTCTGCTTAAAATGGAGAGCATACTTTTATTTACCCTTCTGGCTCCTTGCTGGGTAAACGCTGCAATTAAGCCAATGACTGCTACCGATGGGGACCACGAAGACCACCCCGAGTTTGGTAAGAAGCTAATTTAGCAATTCAGCCTAAGCAGAAGTTAGTTTACGGTAACATTAAAGCTATCTTCTGGATAATTTTGGTAAATAATAAATACTTTAAAGCAATGCCACTTATATTTTCTCGATCTTAAATATGTTATAACTTATTAACTCACGAAATTCCGAACAGTTGTTAATTGAGAGCACAGGGGCGTTTTCACATGTGCAGACTTTTGTAAATGAACGAATTCAGTATCTGCTCGGTCTTATGTGACAGTTGTCCCCTTCATATTCCAGATTCTCTGAACTCAGTCCTGTCAGATTATGAGGTGCTGCCTTTGTCAGGCCTCCAGTTGCACTCTCTGAGGAAGAGGGACGTCCACACCCAGTCCCACCTTGAGCGTCTGGTGAGCTTCAGAGCCCTGCACAGGTACAACAATGAGCTCTTTTAAGCGATGTTGTAGAGTCGCTTCACTTTTCCTTTAGGTTTGTGTTAAAACAAAGACCCATATAGCTGTGCACATGATGAAAGAGGTAAAAATCTTGATCAAATCTATGAGCAGATTTCCACTGTGATATTATACATTGGTTTTGGAGTAATGAGGACCTGGTAAAACATCTCTAACGGGTTTAAAAGGTTGGTTTTTTTATCAGTCTCTTTAGAAACACAAATTTATGTTTGTGGCTCAGAGATTATAACGCTGATATGCTGTCGTCTCACTAGTCACTATATTCTAATAATAATAATGATCACAATCAGTGGCACAATCAGGTCTCCAAGTGTTACAGAGAGGGTAAAAATTAATCTCATAGGAGCTTTGTTTTCTTTAAGCCATTTTTCTTGCACTTTCCTGATTTTCTCAAAGCATGCTTTGTTTTTCTTTCGTTTAGTCTTAACTGGGCTGCTTTTTTGCCCGAAGCACTCAGAACCTTTTCTTTTATTGGTGAATCCTACATGTGCATTACTGCCATCATTGCCAAATAGCAGTAATGGCAGAAACTGTGTAAGTCTTGGAAAAAGCTAAATGTTTTGCGTTCTACCTTTTAGAAACTGTTAAAAATCCACACAGCCATGGCTCAGTACAAACCTAATAGACTGTTGTGGCTGTTATAGACTGTTTTGTAAGAAGTGTTATTTGTAAAAAGAAAAGGCTCAGTTGAAGCGGTGAGTTCGTGCCTAGTTCCCTTTGTCTTGAAAGGGGAACAAGAAAGGTTTCAGTTTTGTTAAATCCTCTCACGTCAAAAATAATTGAGATGACAATTCTAAATTTACACAAACTGTAAAATCGAAATGAGCCCAAAGACTATTTTTTTGCCTGCTCTATTTAATAATTGCAATTTATATTTAATAGCAAACTCCTGTGCGAGGTGTTTGGTGCTCAATTGAACTGTCAAATGTACAAATATATACAATTGTGGGATTTTTATAGAATATTTGTATATGCTATATAGATGTTGGCCGTCACACTGGATGTTCTACAGTGTTCCAATCTAGGAGGAGATACAGACACATACACACCGTTACACCAAAGTATCGAACCGAACCGTGAATTTTGTGTATCGTTGCACCCGTAGTGAATACTATGTCTGCTAAACCCAGTTTGATGTCTCACACAGGACCAAACAGCCATTTATTGGTTAAGTTAAAATATGTTATCTTCTTTTCCAAATCCAGACATTTCAAACTTTACTTGACCACAAACACAGACCTTTTCACGGACAACTTCCAAGCTGTGTTTGTTGACAAACACGGGATGAAGGAAAATTATGATGTTCACCTCCAAAACTATTTCACTGGCCATGTTGTTGGTGAGTGAATGAAAAAAACATATTTTCAGAATATAATTTTTCCAGTCTTTCATTTTAGAAGAGTTACAGTTTATATGTGGAAATCAAGCAAATTTTTATATATCTGAAGTAAATCCATATTTATTAAATGTTACTAATAATTTGTTTTATGTTCGCAGGGGAGGAGAATTCGCGTGTGCAGGCACACATAGACGGAGATGAGTTTTCTGCTCACATTCTGACTGACGAAGCAGAGTACAATGTAGAGGTATGCATCTGTATACCTGCTGTCTCCGTGCCAAAATAGAGGGAGAATTTAAATTCAGTATTTTTCTTTGTAAGACGCTTAACCTTAGCTGTTTCACATCATCAAGCCCGCACTCCTGAAGCATGTAACGGCAGCAATATCAAAACCAATACAAAACCCCAAAATCTATATGTATACAACAACTGAGTACAACGTGCTGGGATTTCTTGCTGAGATATCATAAAATATTACCAGTATAGAGCTTACCTATAGTGTCAGTTGAAAAAGATGCTAGATTAGTAGAAAGTGAGGCAGCTAAATAATCGATGCCTTGTAGAAATGAGCTTATTTTGTGTGATTAAAA